TTTGTCCAAGAACTGCCACCGTTTGCCGACTCATGAATCACCACTCTTTAGTGGGCACTATTCATCATCATGTATTGTTATTCATAGTGTGCACTGTTCACATCTCTAATGTGCATTGTCCATGTCACTACTCATTGTGATATAAGGTGTTTTCATTATTGTCCAACCTATTTTGGCTTTATTGATTACTTCTGCCTATTTAGGTGGTTAAGCATGTTTATGTTTACATTTTTCTTGAATGGTTAAGCATTATGTGTTGGCTTCTACTCTTGATGGTAAAGCTTTGATACTTCTGCCTTATGGTGGTTAAGCATTTATTGCTATTTTCTTCTATCTTTTAAGTGGTTAATCATGTTTATGTTTGCTTCTGTTAAGTGGTTAAGCCATATGTTATGGCTTCTACTTAATGGTTAAGCTTTTGCTTTATGGATTTCATGATTTTAGTTGTGGTAATCTCAAAGCAAGTATGCTTTTAGGCAAAATCACCACCTCTTATATTGACTCTAATGATCAGCTAGCAAATATTTTGACCAAGTTGCTTAGAGGGCCAAGGAAATTCTACATATGTTCCAAGCTGGATGTCTATGATCTATACACTCTAGCTTAAGAGGGAGTGTTGAGATTTGATTAAGATTTTCATGAGATTTGTTGTTAATTTCGATTTGATATCTATCACTATTATTTCATATTTCTATTTTTATTATTCTTGTTAAGTTACCATTTTATTGTGTTTATTTTCTAATTGTATAATCCCTATAATCAAGGATCTCATTTTTATTGTAATTTATTTCTAATTATTAATAAATAAAGGATTGAGGAATCACCCTCCTATAGCATTTTGACTAGGTCATAGTCTTATTTTCAAGTGTGAAAATAAGGGAAGTTAGGGTTTGAACATTGCCAGGTGGAGGGGTAAAGGTTGCGAGAAATAGGTAAAAGTGTTTTGGGATGTGAAAAGTGGTAGAGAAATTGGATACACTTGAATATAATGAGGAAAGGAATTAGGTAAGGGTAAAGGTAAGGATGCAAATGATGGTTGGGATAATGGATACATGGATTTGGAAATGGTAGCAAAGGTGGAAGAAAATGAGGACAAAGATCGATCCGTTAGGGTTGTAAGGAGTGAGGTGAAGGTTTCATGATTGGTGGCGTTAAGTTAGGATTGAGTATCCAATTGGATTTTGAGGGCAACTATTCGAGTGGTGAGAGTGACAATTGCATCATTGTTGTCTTTATGCAGTTTAGGATCAATATCTTTTCTAGTGCATAGAGGAATTGAGAAGGAATGTGAAAACACCAATGGTAGAACTTACTACTGAATTTACTAAAGTTAGCCTAAGAGAAATCTTAGAAAGAAAAGTGGATTATCACCATTCCTCTAAAGAAATAGAAAACAAGGAATATATACTTCCTATACGGGCCTCACCAATAAGGTCAAAAGTATTATTGAAAGCAACAAAGTAAACATAGTAAAGTATCCCAATTAGATGTAATCCCTCATCCATATTGGAGTGGATGTGATCTGTTTGGATCTAGCTAGAGGAACTAGGCCTATAAGCCCATCATCAGTTAAAGTGGCAAAAATCAAGCCATATACTCCAAATTAATATCTGGATCTACTCACTTATAGTTGCTAGATCTACATGATAATCATTCAATAATGCTTTTATCTTATCTTATCTCAAGTTATCGGTTACAACTTGTTTAAATTAAAGATATTGTTGATGTATAACATTCAATTCCTATATAAGGGGGCACAAGCATAGTTTTTAACCTAATTCATATTTTACATTTATGAGACCATTTCTCACTCGAGTGTCAAATTGTCGAATTCTTTTTTGCAAGTACCTCCATTGTCGATTTGAGAAGAGATCAATGTTCTAGGCTAGCAAGCACTTTCAAATTTTGGTGAGAACATTTAGTGACCAATGTGAGGCCAAAGAAAATAATCCTATGACCAACAATTGCATCTACATGAAACCAAGCAAGCAATACTAGCATCCCTACGACATCAACCATGGTAGACAACCCCCCACTATGCAAGATATCCTTCAACTCAAAGTAACTATAGACACAAAACACGAAAACGCTAGAGGCCACGTTCTACCAACACGAAGTTGATCGTCCCCATCTTGAGGTTAATCATGTCCACAATGAACAAGAGTTGCAAGCTTTACACAAAAGTAAAAAAAATATGGTCATTTGTGTTAAGATGAACCAATCAACCACAATGTAATACCAACCAACCCTATGCATTCAACTCATTGGACACACACCCATGTTGATACCCATACACATTGGTTTGAGCATGCAAGCAACACTTACTCACAAACACAATCGCGAGAACCGATTCACAGTACTTGTCCTAAAATGCCCAACCACTTTTCACTTACAAGATAATGGATATGTTGCTTCCCCGTGACTAGAAGCACCTTACTTTGGAAAGATATGATAGGATGACCTACCTAGTTGAGCCCCTCGCTGCCTATGAAACACAAATGCACTTGTATACCCACAATGACGTAGCCATATGTAAGGTATTTCAAACATCATTAAGAGGTCCTACGCTGATATGTATACTTAGCTCACTTTGAGATCCATTCCTAACTATGCTACCTTAAAATGTTTGTTTAAGGTCCAATGTGCGACAAGCCAAGCATACTAAACATCAATAGTAGCATTGCTAAACCTAAATCATGGGGAAGATAAACCTCTTCAGGCATTCATGGAAGGATTTTTCGAAGTGGTGGCTAAGATACATAATCTCCACCCTATTGTCACCCTCAATGCTATGTTATCAGCCTTGAATCTAAGTCCTTTTTGCTAACCACTTGAAGTTGAGAGCCCAAGTAATTGGCTTCATTCAAATGGAGGAGCATTTCAAGCTAAGAAGAGAGAAAGAGAGAGAAAAAGGTAAAAAAATGTTGAAGAGAGGTAAAAAGGTTGAGATGCAAAGGAGAGTGTGGAAGAGAGAAGGGAAATGATTTTTAAAATGGAGTGTGAATATAAAAATGGTCTAAGTATTATGAAATTCAAGAAAAAAATTGAGGTATAAAGGATTAAAAAAAATACAAATACCAACTTCCTATTCTCATTCTCTTTCTCTTTCTTATTCTATCTAATTATGAATGTGTTCCACTTAAATATTTGTTACCAATTATGTTGCTTTACTATGTATTAAAACTATATTTACTCTAAATTTGGTTTGAAAATAAAAATAAAAGTTTGTTTGAATGCATTTTTATTTCATGTTTTATAAATTATGTTGTAAAACAATATTTAATTTCTTTTCTTCAAAAACTAAAAGAGTAGAAGTAAAAACTAAAACAATCTATAAATGTTCTATTTTTATTTTAAAAACTAAAATGGTATTATTTTTAAAACTACATTATTGTTGCAAGTTCTTATCCTTTTTATCCACTTTATTCTACATATATAACTTCATGTTGGGTTGACTTTTGTCTTTAGTCTTCCTCTCTCGTTCCAAGCCTTTGTAGGAAGTGATCCTTCCATGAAGGTAATTCCTTATGGTATTCGTCACGTTACTTCATGCACCCATTATTTTTTAAAAATTTAATAACTAACCTTAAATCCTATCTAATTCAAAATACTCAATATAAAATGTTTAAAAATGTATTATGGAATATTAAATACGAAACACCTATTCCAAAATATTAAAGATGTGTTCCTAAACAACTAATCTAAAAGTAAAAATGGTGTATTGGTGTTCCAAAGTACCCAATCTACGAATTTTTAAAGCTCTGGTAAAAATATGTTATGGATTGTACTTTACTAAAAATAAAACTAACATCAAATTATGAGATATAATTTAAAGGAACACTCAATCTAGACTATCATTTTCGGATTGGTTTTCTTTGCAGGTTCCCATATTTTCTGTATTTCTTTACATGGTTTCTGGATTGTGAAAAAATAAAATAAAATCTAATTCGGGTTATGAACAATCAAGACTGCTAAATTAGCTGGCCGAAATAATTTTTAAGGATGGTTCAAATCTAAAGAATTTTCGATAAATCAGTCCGAATGTAATTATTTTTTTGGAAAGCCCAATATGTAAGACATGTTTTATTTTTCAAGTTAGATATTCCAAAACATATTTTTGACATTTAGAAATAGATCTCGCAAAACATTTAACGTTTTTGGACTAAATATTTCGGAACGTATTTTTTACATTTTAATATAATGTATGGAGATGCAGTTAATAATTCAGATTAAATGTTTCAAAAAAAAAAATTTAACATGTCGGATTAAGTGTTCCATGATATCTGTCCGACTGAGAAAATTCATTTTAATTTTTTTAGTATTTTCAACTTTCAAGGATGTAAGTCTTCCCACCCCACTTGCTCCGGTATACTTGGTTTTTTATGTTCTTTATTATTTATTGATTTTTATATATTACTTGAATTAAAATATAATTAATAACTTAATATATAATTTTTTAAAAAGCATATAAATAAATTAAAATTAAAATATATATATATATATATTTTTTGACATTATACCACATATATTTTGCTATAAAAGTTCAAAGCAACATAAAAGTTATATTGTTTTATGGTTTTCTTTTTTGGGGGACATCCATAGATACCAAATCAATACAGCTTTCTCATCATATATTTGGAAACAAAATGGAAGAAACTAATACCACATGCATGGTTTATCATATTTCATATTTTAACACTCATTACAGTTTTTCTCTTCTATAATTAAAATATATATATATATATATATATGTATATATATATATATATATATGTAAACTTCCCCAAATTTGTCTAAACCGGATAAAATTTAATACGGAAAGAGATGAACCGGCCTACCTATTGCAGGGGTGAAAACAAAGAACAAAACCCACCCAACCCACTCCCTTATCATGCCTAATAATGTAAATAGCATCACCGACCAAAACCTCCAATGTAAAAACTAAAAACAATACTTAAATAAATTCAAGAAAAAAAATCATAAGAACTTCTTTGACGAAGAATTGACCTGCTGAGTGTTTAAAGGCAATTCAAATTTGCTATTTCTTTATCGATTCTAAGCTTACAATCATCAACCTCGTCTTGCTAGCTACTTGGTTTCAGAGTTGAAATGTGTGTAAAGAAGTCAATTAGATTAAGAGTCTCTTTGAATATAAGTTAAAAGTAATTTTGAGAACTTCTTTACCAAAAATAAAGAGTGTTTCTAGTAAAAAAATTCTCAAAAATATTTATAAACTTATATTCAAACAGGTTCTAAAGCAATACATAGAAGAAAATTGAAACTCAATTTAATAAATCATGAACCATTCCTTCCATCCCTTCCGACTGCATGTTTGCATGGAATCTGTTGGTTTTGATTCTTCAGCTCATCTCCAGCCACCAAAAAATATGCAGTGTGCCTGACAAAATAAGGGTAACGTAAACGTTATCATGGGCAACCATTTGCCAGGAAGTGGAACAATGGGGCAGAAAATAAACCTGAAAAAGTTCATCATTTTGGTCTTTGAATCATCATCTATATCTGGAGTACTGTCCAATGCTTGTTGCATGTGATGTAACCACCTCTCTGCAGCTTGATGCGTAACCGGAAACGGTCGATGTCGACCAATTAGAGCAGGATGTCCTGCCAAATATCAAGAAAGAAACCAAGGTTCAATGTTCAGACTTTAAATTTACTAGGAGATTTCAAAAAGCAAGTTCCCTCTCCCCAAGATCAGTACAGAAAACTCTGCCCAAATCTCATGATCCTTTTGGTCTTTCATATAAACATATAGCATCCAATTTGAAATTCCAACAATCTTATTGGGGCTGGAAAACACGAGATTTAGCCATGCCATTTACATGGTAGGGCGAAGACAATAATAGGTTAGGATCAATGGATGAAAATGCAAATGGACATTAACACAAACTTAGTCATAATCCTGCAAACATTTTAATTAGTACCTCACTCTGTCACTCAACTAGTTGCTAAAACTCATCTATATTAACTTCATTCGTAATGCAACGAAACCCCGATGATTGGTTGAAGGGTGATTCAATACAACAATTACATTCAAAACCATGAGTTTTCTCTCTCTAATAGGATTGTATCAAGTTATTCCAGAACAGAAGATCCAAATACATTCCTAAATACCGGTTAGGAAGTTGCTCCATCATCTTTTCCTAAGTAAAGGGGAAATTGTATAGGACAAATCATTGGCACTAGATGTTTTTCTCAAGATAATCAGTAAGGCTGAATCCTGGAAACAGTGTCCAACACTGAGACACCCTAAATTTTAGCGGTATTTAGTGCCCAGTAAAGGCTGAGAGTTGACTGCACTACAATAATCCTTTGTAATTTTGATTCATTCTCTTGCTTCAGAACACTAAATTTTCAATTTCCACAGGTTAATCTAACTCTTTCAGTAACCACTAGCCAGAGTTTCTTTTACACATCGAGATTCTTATCCGCCCCACACATTTAGCTTATATAACATCATTTGAGGATAGCAATATCACAGGTTCAGAAACCAGCACCGTATTATTAAAGACATTTACTAAAGACGTACAGACAGAACATCAACAACAATTTGAATTATTATAATCTCTCGTTCATTCTCCCTCAGCGTTTTGTGAATAGCAACACATTCCTCAAATATTGTCAAATTAACCCCAAATCCATATTACAGAGACCAGCAACACGCAAGGAGGCCATACTTGAAGAATATAATTCAGGGGAATAATGAGTTTACCAATTTTCTAAATTTACTGAAAACTGTTCCACTTGACTGTATTCAGTAGATTTCAAAGAATCAAATGGATCTATTATTTTTTTATGAACCATTAGAAATATAAATATTCAAGTGAAGGGACAAAAATCAGATCCAATTTATTCATGTTCTTATTCTTCAATCAAAATTGAAGTTTCACTTCAATAACTTAAGTTAATCCTTAATGCAAAGTACTTATTAAGTAGATTACTTGGATGAAATTTCAATTTTGATTAAAAAAAAATACCAAAAGTACTTAAACAACCACATGTAAATTTTGTCTATAGTCAACCTACAAAGCATAGGCCGTTTAATTAAAAATGCACATATTAATCAGTTGAATAAATGTGTATTGACAAACGCTAGCAACACTTTCTTTCTAGGAATCTCTACTATTAACGGGAATTTAACGAAAATTATAAATTTTGACAAGTCTCACTTTCAAACCAGGGGATACACTCATTAAATAAGAATTGTGACCCTCCAAAATTTGTGATTTCTAATAATTCCTAGCCAATAGCAGATAGAATATTAGAGAGAATTTCAAAGAGAGTGTCTTAGTTGCTACTTGCCAGCACTCTTCAATGTGCATTTTTGCTGTACACTTTTTTAGTGTGAGACTTCAAGTATCACAGGAGACAATCCTTGGACCACTATGAGTATCCCTCCTACTTAACACAATTAAGCACTCAAACTCAAATTCGAGACTACCAGTTAAACTAAAAGAACCCACGTCAAATCATAAACTTCAATTTTATTGTACCAGGCTACAAGTTGATCATGCACTTATTTTTATGGTAGGCTTGGTTCAGTTTATTTTAGAAAAATACTCGTTTAATTTTGCTTGCACGCACAAACTAGTATAACTAATAATCAAGTCTCTTTATCCAATGATTATAATTCCTTAGACATGATGGACCTGATACATTCAGGATTGATTTTTTTGTCAATATTAAAATAATATTTAATCAGTGAAAGCCACTCCCAACAAACACAAATTAATCATTAATTATCATTTGTCAGTTCCATGACACTAAAACATTGCATAAATCATGTCCATCATTTAAAAAAAAAAAAACTATTATGACTAATGTTATAATTTTGAGGGAACAATTTGACAATATGGCAGACATAGAGAGAAAAGCAATGAAATGAAGAGAGAAGAGTACCTCTCCTCTGAGAAAAGAGAGGAGGACCACCCATTCGTTGGACGAAGAACTCGTATTGGTTTTGAATGGCGTCTTCTTTCTGAGAGCCAGCGAATATCGAACGAAACCACTCTTCCTCGTCACCGTACACCCTAAAGCCCCAAAGTCAAACACAAAAAATATATATACATATAAGTGAATTCATGAGAATAGAATATTGGGACGTGCGAAAGAGAAAGTACCGGTTGTAGAAATTGGTGGAGAGGTTAACGAAGGTTTGGAGGCCGAGTTTTTGGAAGAGATTGGTGTCGTCGATGGCGAAGGCGTCGTCTAGGGCGATTCCGCTCCATTCCGAAGCCTTGTGTTGCAGACTCTGCATCGTTGGATGCGTGTGGGTTTTGGGGAGTAGTGAATATATATATATATATAGAAAGGTCGTGGGTGGTGGAGTTGGCGTGGATTAGACGCTGTTATTTATTTCCCTTTTTTTGATTCCCAGAAGAGAAGACGAAACGGTGGGCGCTGCTTGTGTTGTGTTGGGTATTGTCTTCATAGGATACGCTGAGTGAGGTAACCATGTCGTTACTCTTGCCGCATTTTAAGCTCACCAATCACCATCGTGTCAGGGGTAAAGATGCCAACTCCATCATTATTTATTTATTTATTTATTATTATTATTATTATTAAATTGTATATTTGATCTTTAATTTTTTTATTTTTCAACTTAATTTCTTTTATCTATATTTATTTTTATAACTATTAATAGAGGGAACATATTTTTAAATAACCATTTTTGTTTATTTTTTTTTACATTTTTATCCATTCGATTATGTCACAATTTCTTATGAATAAAGGATAAAATAAAAAAAAATTATAATAATTGTTACAAGCACGAAATATTATAAAAAGATTTAATTTATGCCTTTTTGACTAGATTAAATAAAAAATTAATATGTTATTGTGCATTTGAAATAACTATAAAAATTTATAATAAAATAATTTTTTTTAAAAAATATTTAGATTTAAGATTTAAATTTTTTTAAATATAAATATAATTTGATTTCATAATGATTTTGTTTTAATATAAATTTTCATAGAATATTTAGTATATAGTTTAAATTTACTTCCTCTTACTTAAGATACAAATCTTGTAACAATTTTCTTTGAAGTATGACTTCATCAACAGTGTTTGCACTTGTGTTTCAAGATGTTCAGATATTTGAAACTGAGTACAGTCTTGATTATTTGATGCAAATGCCATCAAGTGGAAGACTGATCAAATTGAATGAAGACATGAAACTTGTTTGATTTGTTGAATGAGATACATAGAAGGTTGATCAAAACTCAAAAGTGATAGGAAATGCATCACTCAAGTTCATTATTGTTGCCCAGTTAAATGTAAGGATGGGCGAAAGCAATATACTCCATATCCTTTGATATGTGATGAAGATGTGACATTCATGTTTCACAGATTTGCAGAAGACCCGAATGATATATTACTATATCTATTTGTTACTATTGACGATGTGGAGCCTCAAGAATTCCAAATGTGGAACATGGTCAGTTCATTTGAAAGACTATTGAAGATTAAATCCTGTTGGACTTTGGCCGACCTGCTGGGAAACTGATTATGTTGGTAGAAACTGATTATGTTGTTTGCATGACCCGCTGGGAGATTTACAGTAAGGCTAAATGAAATGTGGTACGATTATGACAAGTTCCAGAAAGTTCATATCTCTTGCTCGCATGACCCGCTAGGAGATTTACAGTAAGGCTAAATGTAATGTGGTGTGATTGCGACAAGTTTCCCAGCGGGTTGGCCAAAATTTAGCAGGATTAAAATAGAGATGGGCATTAGAGAACAACATAATCAGTTTCTGCCACTATTGATCTTTATTGTTGTATTAAATTTTAATAAATTTATTTACTTATATTTATAATGTTAATATTCAAGAAATTTAATTATTTGATGTTAGTTTCTGAGTTTTGGTATTTGATAAGTGAAAATCGAACAAAAAAAAATTATTTTTAGGCCAGAACGGCTCATTCCGGATTCAGAATGGCCCATTCTGGTTCCACATTTTATGTGCTGATTTTGAATCCGGAACGACCCATTCTAATCCATTCGTCATGTGTTATTTTTTAATCCGGAACGACCCATTCTGAAATTAGAACGGCCCGTTCTGAACATGAACAGTGTAGGGGCCCCTACTTGTTGTTGGTCAAAGGCTGTTAGAGCTGACATGGACGAGACTGATGCGCAGAAAGCAGTTGGAGCAGAAACCCCCCTACGCCATCTTCATTCTGGACGAGATTCTGATGCTAACATGGACGAGATTGAAGAGAAAGTGTGCAGAAAACTGTTGATGCAACTCTCCAAGCTCCATCTTCACACTATCTTGTCCCCTTACAATTTACATGTCCCCCTGCACCATATTTTTACTCAATCACGTGACAGAAATCACCTAAATCAGTAATATTTTTTATTTCATGTATTTTTAATTTTATTTATTTAATGATGGAGATTCATGGGCCAAGGGTTCAATCATTAGGGCTATGATCAGAAAGCCAGAGAAGGATTGGGCTAACACAAAGAAAAAGCTCATAGTGCTCTTTAGTTGGGTTGTGTACTAAAGTTCATTAGACTAGGTTAGCCCACTTAGGCTTGTATTTTTTGTTTGCGGGTCTTGTATTTTGACCAAGTAGATTAGGTTTATTTTGGGCCTTGTATTTTGGTCACTTAGTGTATAGAAAATTACATTTACATGAGAGATTGCATTTAGTGTAATTTGAAACACATTTAAGGTGTATTTGGAGCCATGTGACCGACTATGTGGGTGGTGCACATGGTGTGACTCAAATTCACCTCAAATGAGAATCAAATCACATTAAGATGCAAGCTCCACATGTGGCACATGGAAGGTCCCGAGAATCACATTAGGTTTATTATGTTTAATGGTTCTTATCAACCCTCATGCTTTTTGTTAATTTTTTATTTATTTTTAATATAGGCAGTAAATTAAATCCAATCCTCTAACAGTTACACAGACGATTACAATTTATCATGAATCACGTTATATCTGTTGCTCTAGTGGAAAAGTATCTTTTGCACTATTTAATATTGCTAAAGAGTTGCTTGATATTTTTTTGAACCTTACATTTGAAGGGAAACATTTTATAAAATATATTAGAAATTTAACCATGTACTTTCATTCACTTCACTTGGTGTTCATCTTGATCAAAATCTTGTGGCAAATGGATGTGGTATATATAGTTTTTGTGCTCAAGGTTCAATATATCACAATATTGGAGGATTCTATCCAATTGAGGGTTGTAGGTTATGTTTCTTGCAATTGTACATCTATGACACACAACATGAGTTACAAAATAGAATGCTTGAAAATCCTCAACTTCATCAATTTAGAGTTTATAAGTTGCAATAAATACTTCATTAGTGCAATCCTTTTGTACAAGTATTTAAACAACTTACACTATAATCAAATGTTTACGTATGTAGTCTACTCATTAAAAAGCGTCCTACTAATCAACCACAATACCATCTTCTAACCGCTTCACAAGTTGCACCAATTATTATTGGTGAAGATGCAAAATCAATGTTATGAGGATAAGATATCAATCTGGTCAGTCATGATAAAAATTTGGTGAAAATTCAATAAATAGTAGGATATTATGATCCCCTACAATATCCTTTATTATTACCTTTTGGGACATATGGGTGCGATTTCAACACCAAAAATCATAATGGACAAAATATCTCATGTTAAGAATATTATAGTTACATGTTTCAAGTGCATAACATTTTATTTTTACATGGAAATTTTAAAAATTGTACTATGAAGTGCTAAGTGATACCTTTATTGTAGATATTGTTAGAAAAGAATGGCTCAATCCAAGAGGGAGGGTGAATTGGATTCTATGACACTTTAAAAATTTTCAGAGTTCTTAGGATCTTTATTTCAATTCAAACTTTTCTAATATGAATTTTAAAAGAAGTTATTTAAAGACTTCTTAATGAAGAATGAATCCTATATGTTTTCTTGATTAATCTTTGATAAACTTCAAGGTTAAGAACAATCAATATGCAATACTTTGATTCAGTTTAAAAAAATGTTGCACATGTGACCTACATCCAGTCCTCAATCATAACCTGATCAAGATTTGTTCCACTATCTTAATGAAGAAGTTTTACAAGCATACCACACATGCATACACTCCTACATTCAAGATAATCACTTTCTTGACCCCAAGAAAGCACCCCTTGTAGAAACCCACTACAAGAATTCCTTACCACTTGAGAAACCTACTCAAGATTTACAATTATTCACAAAGAATTAAAGGAACGAATTCACCTGGAAAATGAACAAATCAGATAGTGAACTCAGAAGCAAATCTTAATCTTTCTCTTTTCAAGAATGTGATGATGATGATCTTTTCTCAAAGCATTTCAAAAACGTTTTACTTCTTGGTTTCACAAAGAAAACACTCCAAGAAGGTCACAAAGACTTCACAATAACGTTTTTCTCTTTTTGATTTTCTGTTCTATCTTGTTCTGAAGTTTCAAAATGTAATAACTATTTATAACATTTTCAGAACCAGATAATCGATTATTTTAAAGGATAATCGATTATTTTGTTCTTCATGATTTCTGGAAATCAACCAAGAACAGATTAATTGATTATTTTGCAGGATAATCGATTATTCCAGAGAGTGATTCCTGGGATAATCGATTATTTCACAAATGATCGATTATTGCAGTAAGGCATCCTTTTTACATGTTGCTGGAATAATCGATTATATTTAATGATAATCGATTATTTTGAGTCAGTTTTCAAAAAATTTGTTTTATGTCTCAAAATAACTTCTCAAGTTTCTAACTCATCATCATACTCACTCTTAATAAGATTAGATAAAGATTAACCCATGCACAAAGCACACAATGCAAAATAAGCTCAACAAAACAATACAATTTATGAGCTACTCCTATTACACAACATAATAGTCATATTTTCTTCTTGACTTTGTTTTTGACTTGTTGATGTCCTTGGTCAGCTTTGATCCATACTTTGTTATCATCAAAACATTTATTCTCCAGGTCTAAGTTGATTCACCACTCCATGAATCTCAACAATCTCCCTTTTTTTGATGATGACAAACCATACAAGCCATTTTGTTTTGCAAACCAATATTTCCCTGCAAAACAAGCTCAAAACCTTTCTCCCCCTTTGAACATCATCAAAAAACAAACCAAAATGTGTTTGTCCAAATTTAACATGTATGAACTTATGCACAGTACTCATTTGCTCATAATCAATGCCACAAGACTGATTTAATACTAAGCAACACAAGCATTGTTCCAATCAATTAATACCAACATTTTGTGATCTTTAATCACAATATCTAAACCATAAGCATCATATCATCAGAAAAAACATCAAATTGTCAGCCAAAATCGCATAATGCAGTACATTATCACATTTCAATGTCCAAAGCATTATCAAATATACCAGCAAACACCAACTACCACATACTAATGTTCAAAA